TATAAAAATTAGATTATATGTAATGTATTTTATATTACTAAAATGTTTAATTAGTGAACCTAATTTATTTTCTCTTAAATTTTAAATTAATTTTATTTTAGAATAAAATAAATTAATTTTATTCTAGAGTAAAATAAATTAATTTTATTTTAAAGTAAATTTTTTTATATAATCATTTAATAATAAGAATAATAAAATAAATTATATTAGAATGAATTGATAATTTTAATTTATCAATATATTTTAACATATTTTATCTAACTCATCTATGCGGGACTAAGGATAGAGTGAAGCAGAAGAATTAAATATTTTCTAAATTATATTAAAAGTTGGCCTAAAATGATATAAGGGGGAGAGATTTAACCGTATACTTTGTCAATCAAATTAGTATTTGTTGTTAGAAGAATGTTTGCTTGACATGTTTAGCAGATATAATTAATTAAAAATAAAAATATAATTTTATCTTTTTTAATTTATTTTTAATCTTTATATTTTTAAATTGATTAATTTGGTTTTTAATTTTTAAGAATATATGATTTTAATTTTTTATATATAAATTTACCACTTAATTATAAATTTTCAATTTAACAAATTTGATATAAAAATTGAATATAATTATATAATATTATTTAAATTTGATATTTAATAAAACTTTTTATTAATATTATAAAATTCATAAAAGAATCAAATTCATATATATATTTTTAATTTTAAGGATTAATTTATTAAATTATAAAATATAAAGATAAAATAATTTTTTTATCTCAAATAGAGGGACATAAATTATATATAATCCTAACTTAAAATATAAATGTACTAACCAATAAAAATAGAGTGTAATTAATGATAAAAGAGAATAATATTTCACAAACATTATCTTAGAATCTCGGTGACTGAAGTTTTCTACGGTAGTGCAGTTGGAATACGAACTTTCCACGTTATTTGTGTGCAAATTGACAGAAAAGTTGTTAAAAAGTAAGAAAACTTTTTTCGATCTATTTATTGGTTCAACGTCATGCAATTGTGTGGTGGAGATTGTACCAAACGCGTGCAGATTTTTATAGGCAAATTAGTTAAAGTACAAATGTTTCTCACACCCTCATAATTTAACCTAAATGTTTTTCCAACATCTTAACTGATAAAGTTTTATGCTTTATTTTATGGTAAAGAAAAAAATATAAACTAAATTAATTAATGTGAAAAAGGAGAAATAAATGATAATAATATTAGGATTTGTTTATTTTTTAAAATATGATTTTAATTTTAAAAATTTTTAAAATTATTTAATAACTATTTTATTAAAATAGTTTTTAATTTTATGTTTGTGTTTTATTTTTTTAAATTAAAAACAAAACAGTAAAAACATTTTATGTTATATTTTTTTTCAATAGTGAGTATTTAATATTTATCTAATAATTATATTAAATAATTCATTTTTATTATTAAAATTATAATAATTATTTTTTAAAACTGTTTATAATCAATGATTTTTTATTTAGAATAGTTTTCTTAAATAAAATTATTATTAATTTTTTCCACTTATTTTTTGAAAATAATTTTTCTTTGTGAATTCGATAACTTATTCTAACCCAAAGTTATATAACTATAGTATTGACTGGTTGAATTAATATGTGAATAAATTTTCTTAAAACACATACAAGAATTACAGCAGTCATTTACAATGGAAAATGATTAATTTCATTTTTAATTAGAAAAACATTTCAACCAATTTTTTACATTATAGTGTTAAAAATTTGTGTATAGGTGTATTTAAATTAATTTCTTATATCAATAATAGTTAATTTTTGTATCTTGTGGTTGAAAATTTCAACCAAGTGGAAGTGTCATGATATATATTCATTCAATCTAATCTAATTTTTATTATTATTCTTTCAAGAAATGGTGCATTAGGAAAAGACATACAATTTATAGGAAAATTTAATACTAAATAATGAGAATAATTAAAAAAAAATGTGAAAGAGATATATCATATTATAACACATACGTGGAAGAAATAAAAAGAAAAAAAAATCATTGATTTGTGAAAGTAGTCTTAATATTTATTATTGTAGATTCCAAAATTGTATGAATTATACTAACATTTATATGATTTTAATCCTAAATTTAATAATTATTAAATGTAATTTGATGTTTGACCCATAGGCGGTGGAAATTGTGTTACCACTAACAACGTAAAATGTACACAAACATAACGTGTAAGAATGGGACACCATTTATTTTATTTTATTTTTCATCTGAACAAGGTCAAAACATATTATAATACCTGCTTGAAATTTGGAGTATCTTGACTATTTTGCCATTATCTTTAAAAATTCACCGAACTCACAACGTACCATTACCTCTCTATCTAGAATGTGAACAAAAAAAGGGTGAACGATGGTTTTTACGAGATAAAAGTTGTGAAACTAAACATTATTTCTTTTATTAAATATATTTTTTATTTTCTTAAATTTATTAGAGAAACATTAATTTCATTTAATAATATGATTTTATTTGATCCAATAAATATTCTTTACCCAGTAAATAATAAATAATAAATTATCATTAATAGATTTTACTCTAACAATTTCATATAATTTTAAAAATAAAAATAAATATTATTTTTTCTTAATTCATGACAAAATTATAATATATTTAAATTCAAAGTCTAAAATAAATAATATGTATGATGTTGATAATATGATTATTAAAAAAATAAACTGTTGGATAGTTTTTCCTAATGGATAAATATAAACATATAATTTTTTATAATAAAAATTTAGTATTTAAATTTTGTTTTCATTAAATTATAAATTATTTCTAAACTTAAATTTTTCTAAAATATTTATTGTTAAACTAGGAAATGTTTATAGTACAGTTTGATTCGATTTTGTCCTACAAAATTACTTTAAGTACATATAAAATTTAAGATGCGGTTCCATTTGATTCAGTCTTAATTTTTAAGAAAATATCCGAAAAACTAAACCAATTTTGTAAATTGGTTTGAACAATTTTTCATAGTTTCTTTTTATTATAAAATTATTAAATATATTATGATAAACTAGTTATTAAAAAAATATTATTACAACATAATTTTTGATATTTATAATTTCAAATTACTTTCATATTTTTCTTGTTTAATTTAAAAAATAATAATATATGTTATATATTATAAAATAATAATTAACCAATTCTAAAAAATATAGATATCTTATGTTTCAATTTTAATAATATATATTACTTATTTGAATGATTTTTTAATAAAAAATAAAGAAAATTATTCAATTATAAAAATAATACAAATTTAATTTTAATTAATATTTTTTTTCAATGTTGAATTTTACTTTTAGAAGGGTTTGAACCCTATATAAAAATATCTTAGCTTGTGTTCGGTGCGAGAAAACTGTCAGGGGACTACTTTAACTTTCCAGAAAAAGTAGGAGAAACAACACATTGAAAATAAATAAATAAATTATTTTTTATAAAAAAATAATAATAAATATCAATCATATTTTTTTATATAATTAATTATATCTTGATTTTTAAAATATTTTTAATTTATTATTATTATTATTATGAATAATTAAAAATTTATTAAAATAATATTTTACTTAATTAAATCAATCTTATTTTTTATATTTTTCCTCTGTTTAAATAATCTTACTTTTTTTCTTTCTTTTTTTATCAATTTTTTTTTAACTCGTTTAAACTGAGCTTCAATTCAAAGACATGCTTGAATTAATTAAATTAGATAAGTCAAATGAACATACAATTCCGCAAAATAGGCACCCCAACGTGTTCTCATTTGTACCGTTTGTCCGGCTAACAAATTAACAGTCCCCAGGTGACACATCTTCTTTAAAATTAAAATTTTATAATTTTAATATATATTTATAATTTTGACCTTAATTGTAAAATATATTTATAATTTTTTTAATTATTTTATGTTAATTAATAATATATTATTTAACTTAAAATTAATCATCTTGTTTTTTTTATCTTTTATTAGATAAAAGAATATTATATGTTTTTAAAATTCAAAGGCAGTTAATATATATATATATATATATATATATATATATATATATATATATATATATATATATATATATTATCTTTAGGTCCTGTAATTTTTTTCTTGGACTTGGTAAAGAATAATCTTTTAAGATGTTATCATTCAACGCACTTTCTAAATATGTTGATTAATTAAAGAACAATTTTGTTCATATTCATTTGAGTAAATTATATTAATCACTCTTGAAATTTCACAAACTTACATCATTATTTTCTGTTATTTTATGAGGTTCAGTATATAGATTGTGGATTATTCTGCAATTGAAGAAGTATATTTTAGAAGATATAGTACAATAATAACAAATAATTACAAAATCAATTATTTAAAATTAAATATATATTTAAAATTTAAAATTAAATATAATTATAACGGTTAATTTTATAATAAATTATTATTATTGAACTTCAATATCATCTGTCAAATATTTTTAAAATAATAAAAAATATTGACATAGAAATAAAGAATCTATTCAGATTTGAGGAAACTGCACACATAATTTACTCAATTATTTATGCTTTGTTATTTTGGTGGTGTCCTTTGTTTTTGTTTTCATACACATATATCACACACTTCTCTTTCTCCTCACCTTCGGCTCAGTCTTCTGAACATCTTTTGGGTGTTTCTGAATTACTGTCTTCTTGTGAAGAGCAAGTCCATGCCTACCTAATCACACGCAACCATAAATGATGAAAGCATAGTTTATGTATAAAGGTTCTGTTTCTGCTTTTGTCACACTGTGTTTATGTTATGTATTACTGTGTTCCTTTGATGTATCTGTTGTCATGAGGAGAAAAAACTTGTTTGTGTAATTCATGTGCTTTTTATTAATTTTTTCTTGTTATATGTGTTTTGTTTTATTTTTTACATTCTTAGGAATTGGTTGGGAAAAAGTGAAGCACTTGTTTTCAAGGAATCTTCAGTTGCCATGTTTCATAGTTGGAGCAATTCTCCTCAACAAGGTCGAGAAAGCAACGAGCTTTATACTGAATCAAAGGTGCGTTGTGTTTTGTTTGGTGATGTTATGCTTTGTTTTGGAAATGTTTAGGTTAGTTGAATCTCGTGTTCCTGAGGATCATAAATCATAATAGAGTTTACGGATCAAAGAGCTTGTGTTTCTGGTGTTAATGTTTGGTAAGATCTTGGTGATGATTATGCATGTTTGAGGAGATATTTATAGCCAGAAAAAATTGTACTAACAGATCAAGGAGCTGAAGGGTGCAATTGAACCCTTATCAGGGCACAGTTTGATGTATTGCACTGACGCATGTTTGAAGAGATATTTGGAAGCTCGGAACTGGAATGTGGACAAGTCCAAGAAGATGTTGGAGGAGACACTCAAGTGGAGATCAATCTATAAGCCAGAGGAAATTCGCTGGGTAAGTTCTGGCTTAGTTTCTCACTCTAGATGGGCTTAATTATTATATTTCTAATTTCCAAATTTGAGATGAATACGATTTTGGTTCGCAAATTTAAAGAAATAATCATTTTGATACTTTTAATTTTGGAAAAAAAAAAAAAAATTGATCTCTTAATTTTGTGCTTAGGATCTAAATTCCTGCAAATGTTGGGGTCTGAAATATTTCTATCTTAAATTTGGAAGACGAAAACTGGATTTATCTAGATATTTTGGTATTTAGATATGATCTAAACTGTTATATGGTAATGTTATTTGTCAGCATGAGGTTGCAATGGAAGGGGAGACTGGAAAATTGTATAGAGCAAGTTTTCGTGATAGACAAGGAAGAAGTGTTCTTATTTTGAGGCCAGGAATGCAGGTATCATGGTTTGCATTTAGAGATATTTAGTTAATTGGTTTCAGGTCAAAATATTCATTTTGTCCCTTTAATTATCCCATTTAAAGTTAATCCATATACGAGAAAACCATAAGTTTTAGGTCCTACAAATGCATAAATTTTGGTCCCCGTTACTAACTTCGAATAAAACTTTAATTTTGACGGTGATAAAAAACCTATTTAGATCCAAACTTAAAATGATTGGTATGGAATCTGAAACATTTTGATGTTTTACATGATGAAGAACACTACTTCAATGGAGAATCAGATGCGGCATTTTGTTTATATTTTGGAAAACGCCTTGCTTGACCTTCCACCGGGTCAAGAACAAATGGCATGGTTAATAGACTTCACTGGGTGGTCAATAACCAACAATGTGCCCTTGAAATCAGCCAGAGAGACCATCAACATTTTGCAGAACTATTACCCTGAGAGGCTTGCCATAGCATTTCTTTACAACCCCCCTCGAGTTTTTGAAGCCTTTTGGAAGGTTTGTTGACATTGTTCTTAGTGCATGTAATTACTTCACTGGTTTATTGGCAATATAATACCGATTCCATTTTTAAGCATACTGAAGTTACATGTTATGCTTCTATTGATGCAGATAGTTAAGTACTTCTTGGATAACAAGACATTTCAGAAGGTGAAGTTTGTGTACCCGAAGAACAAAGATAGTGTAGAGCTCATGAAGTCCTATTTTGATGAGGAAAACCTTCCCAAAGAACTAGGTGGAAAAAGCACAATGCATTATAACCATGAGGAGTTCTCCAGATTAATGGTTCAGGATGATTTAAAATGTGCAGCATTTTGGGGATCTGATGAGAAGCTCTCCAACCACATTCCTAATGGGCATTCTGCAGCAATTTTCAATGAAACCTCACCTGAGGCATGTTAATCTATGTTTAGATTACCATTTGGGGTGGTGAATGTACATCGAAAGTACGTTGGGAGAAACATGCTCTTTTTTACTTTTAGATTATAGTAATTTTGGAAGGGTAGGCAGGGTAATCCAGACATACACTTAGTTTTAGTGCAAAAGATATGAATACTAATCATTATAAAGCCATTACCTCAGGGAAAATTAGTACCAAGGTGCATCCCCTGTTTAGTTAATTACTGATATGAGATATATACGTCTAAAATTTATTTACTGCATAACTAGTATTCCATCTGATATGGTAAACTTGTTCCTAATCTAGCAGATGTATGTATACCTCGAGCAGAGGACTATTGAAAACATGACAATGAAAATGTTGTTCAAACATCAAGTTTAAAACTATCAGCCATTTATGGTAGCACAATTTTCTGAACATTTACATGAAAACGTTTTAATGTGCAACTTACAACCTACATAAACCACCACACAATCACAAGATGATGTCATCCGATGGTGGTGACAAAATTTGAGCATCTATGCCATTCTTTGAAACAAGGAAATTCTTTTGAAAAGCTTAAGGGAAAGATTGTACAAAAAGGAGGAAAAAATACTACTGATACTTTGTTTCCTTTGACATGTAGAGTATAGAAGTTCAAACTCATCAGGGGTTATATGAACCTCCTTTTAAAATTACGAGTAGTTGCTTGGTATGAACGTACTAACAAGCTAACCCCTATACCAACTCCTACGCAGATGCCAAGTCCAATTCCAACACCAACTCTTACCCCAGCATTGAACCATGACAGTTCACCATCTTCCCCATCAACATATACTGTTCTTTGCCAATACATGCTATTGTAATCCTCTTCTCGTTCCAGTTTGAAGCTTCTTCTAAATTCAACAACCTATAAAGCAAAACAAGGGGATTACAACCTCATACTTACAATCCTTATTGCATGGAAATGTTCACTGCCACAATGTATTATCACTAGCTATGAATTTGGATGCAATACCAAGACAAATTAGGGTTGGAAATAACTCACACGGCACAAGTATAATGTTTTACATGATCAAAAGATCTGTTCAAATGGAATTCTTACAACTTCTAAAGAAATTCAAGTTATAGACCAACGCATATATACTATGAGGTAAATGTTGCAAATAAGATGAAACCATGATGAAAAATCAAGCTCTTAATGCAGATGCTAAGCATTAACGTGTTTGTGTCAAAAAAGAAACGGACGATTGAATGTTCCGGTGTAGTTTGACAAATGTTTTTCTCAATGCAATTTAGAAATTTACACACCATTTGGATTTATACTGCCTTTTTGAGTTTAGGCATGAAGAAGAAATATAATCTTTGGACTAAAATAATCTAACAGACATTTTAAGAAATTTTAAGCAATTAAAGTGAAAATTTTCAAATTTAGCGAATAGACTAAAAGAGAGATCAAAATGATATTGTAACCTTATTTTTTTCAGCCAACTCATCTGGAAGTAAGCTTAGCAATCCTTCCCACTGTAAAGTGTAAAACAGTAGATCATGAACCACTCCAAACTTTAAGTGGTATTATACTGTTTTACATCTGAGAGAGATTAAATTTGACAAAGTTTGAAAGAAATATAAGGGAGAACTAGAGACATTACAGGTGCAAATCATGTCAATCATCCATCCACTAGGTGACATATGACAAAATAGTTTAATGTTCATTGAAAACATGGTGCTGAAAAGTGAACATATTTTAGTAATACAGTAAGATGTATAAGTAAGAATTAGATATTAATCCTGTAAACTAATCTTGTTTTCCATAGAACAAGTTCCTTGATCATGATTGCTTTCCTTAATTGTCAACAATATCATATAACATTAATTCCAAATTAGAATCTAACACATGGTTATTTAAAAATTGAAACCTTTTGTCTCCTCGGTGTTTTGAGAATGAACTGTAAGTCTGTAACCATGATCTTACATTTCTTGTGTTCTTTCTCCAAATTATCAGATGAGTAACAAAATCTTTAAGCACACATACAGAGTTAAAGATGCGGAAAGAGTCCCTACAAAGACTGTGACCTCACTATGAATTGTCTTAGGGAAGACTCTAATTTTGTTATGAAAGGAACATTGGAGAATAAGAAACAGAAAAATAATGAAGTAAATTAGTAGCTCCGACGAATAAGAAAAAAAAATAGTTTGTGACTTATTCTTGGCCATACTGCAATGATGCTTTTGGGATAGGGTATTATTATTCAGTTGTTGGGACAAATCAAACAAAAATGGCAGCAAACGTAGAGACACCAAATCATACATAACACAGAATTTGTATTATCCAACAAAGTTTGTTTATTCATCGAACATTTATGTGAAATTTTCTATATTATCCAGAGATTGTGTCATTTATAAGAAAACTCAGAATTCAGAAAATCATGCCAAAAAATTTACAATTTTTTTACCTGCACATCATGTCCATGATCAGATACATCTTTGTGGCGTTCAGTTGTTTCATATTCTGGAATGGCATCCAAGGCACATTTCCTATTATGCTTCTTTCGGAAAGTGAGTTGCAATGTCTTGGTTAAGATTATAGGTGTTCCTGAGAAGCTGCCAGTAACATAAACCTCAATTTCAGGACAAGGAAATTCAGATACAGCAACATGTTTTCCCTTGAAGAAGCCACAACCAGGTGCCATTTCTGTTTGACAACTCATACTCCATCTCTTCACACTACTTTTTGATTCCCCAGCAAAACCAATGGTATTAGACATCTCCAAAACGCCAGAGAGTATGCAAAGCTCCTTATCATAAACCTCAAACTTCATGCTCCCAGTAAAACGTATACTATCGGTGTTCACAAAGGTAGCTTTCTCAGATTTCTTATCCACTCTATCCCTTCTCAGAACTGAAGACTCTCCATCACAGTACATGCTGCTCCTAACACCATTCACCTCCAAAAGGGTATCATGACTCAGAGGAATATAATGGAGAGAGAGACTCTCCGGGGTGGATTCATCAACCTGAATTCCACTCACTCTCACATAAAACACTCTTAAATCAAACCAAGGTGAGGGTATCATGGTCCAGGGTTTATAAGGAGAGTATTTAATGATCTGAAGGTTTTTGTTACCAGCTTCTCCCTTGCATGATGAATAATACGATCCTTCCATATCCGTATCTACTCACTCAATCACTTAAAAAAATCCTCTTATAACTGAAAGCATCGTTGGAAGTGGAAGAACCATCAAAGTCTACATCAGATTTCCAATTGAAACCTGCTTCACAATCAACCAAATACTTGGAATTCTCAGATAATCGAACCAACAAATCGTGAACAAAAACATAAGAAAAACCATAACTAAAGCACACGTATGGCAAATGGCTAAACATGGTATAAAGTTAAAATTTAACGAATCATAGATAAAATAAATAAATAAGAGAGAAGAAAAGAAGAAAGAGAACTTGAGTGAAGGTGGAAACCAAATCATTATTCTGATGAAAAAAAACAGCAACTCTTGAGTTACAACGGAAGAGGACGAAAGAGAGTGATGAAGTGTGAAACCAAAGAGCTTTTATATCTCTTTTAAGTACAGAAAATAACACACACACGTCATAGTTGTTACTGTGTGAGCCAAATCTGTACGTGAATGTAAGAGGGGCAGAACCACAAACAATTTAAGTCCCTCTTTTTCCGCAAATAAACTCTAACCATGAAAAATAGTTCATCAAAATCTCAAATTATGATATGATGGCATGCCACTACGTTATTGCTTAAACACAAACCACTCATGCTTTTATATGCAATCAAATTCTAAAACCAAAGTACCTTTCAGATCGTTGTCGACCTTTTGGTACAAATCATCTATCTCCTATCCCGTGGTCTCGGCAGGTTTGTTTGCAATAATAATATCAAATCAACCTCGTGTTCTTTATAAAGCATATATTAGTTTAAGAAAATGCATAGCATATATCGTTTTTATGTACAGAAAATAAGAATATAATTTAATATCATACTTGAATTGACCCTTTTCTCGAGTTAATCAGAAATTATCTTACAAGAGAAATGGTTATGAGTAATAAAGTTTCAACTTCGAATATTATGAAAAAAATATGATTGAAAGAAAAATCTAGCATTGATAAAGACAATAAATACCATCAATCAATAAGATAATTATAATTTTTTTATTAGAAATTACAAACGCATTTTTTGCATAACCATTTTTCTCTTAATATTTTTTTAAATATGAAACAAAGTGATGGAGAATTGGATTGAAAAGAAATGGGGTTGTGACCAGGATTGTTCATCTTATCCAGTAAAATCAGATAAATACGAAGAAATGTGTGGAGAGCTGAAAGTGATGTGATGTGATGTGATTGTTGGCTTATCAACTTTAGTTGAACCTATTTATTTAAACTTATACCAATCTTATTAAACTGTTTGGATAATGAAATACTTAAATCGTTAATGTTATGAATTAATTTTTAAAACTTTCTGTAACGTGCTTGGAATATCATCGTGTGTTTTGGTTAATTTTTAGCTTCACAATAATTTAAAAGAAAAAGTTATTAGCCTAGAATGTTTTTATCTTATATTAAATATTTTAAGTTTTTAAATGATATGTGCTTTTTAATTATTATTTATATGTGTGAAAATATGTTAAGATGACAAGTTAAGACGACGGACGGTTGACCTTGATCTATCCCACTAAAAAATAAATTGTTAACCTGCTATAATTTTAAAAAAATTAATTTATTTTTTTAAATCAAATTTTTTAATAAGTTTTATAATAAAATTATCATTGTTTATTAATAATTCAAAATATATATTTCAAATTAATAATATAAATTAATATATTGTTTTAAAAATTATAATTTAAAACAATAATAAAATTTATATAATAATAAACAATAACAAAGATATATAAATAACGTCAAGTAAAATTTATATTTTTTATATTAAAAAATTCAAAAATTTATATATTTTTTATTTAATAAGACTTAACATTATCTTCCTCTTAAGTAAATTTTATATCTTTAATTTAAGTCATAAGGATAAAAATAATCAATACATCATTAGATCAATAAGGAGCAAATGATGAGCACAAAGAGGAGAGAGAAAAACTTATATTTGATTAAGGAGAATGTTTCCTATAACGAGTGAGAGTGAAACTTTTTTTAATTCTCTTTTTACAATTTTTCATTATATTATCTTTACTATCTGTATTACACTAAAAATATTTTTTTATTAATTAGACGGGTCACGCATTGACGAGTCGATCAAAGCGAGCTGGCAGTTGAAAATACTAACTCACTCTACCATTATAGCGAGTTGGCAAACCGACCGTCGAGCATGACCCGTTTTATCATCCATAAACGGTAAGGATGTTAAAATAGGCTTAATCCGATGAACCAGTTCAAAAAATAGATCAGGTTAGGCTAAAAGATTTATGGCTTAAATAGAATCAGGTCAATCTTGGTTCAACCTATACAAGTCAGACTTACCCATAGACATTTGAGCTTACTCGTTTTATAAAATAATAATTATTTTTAAATAAAAAAAATTATTAGAAAATATGTGTATAATAAAATAATTTAATAATATATACATATATATATATATATATATATATAATTTAGAAAGAATAATAAATCCTACACATAAACTTGATTTGCGTTCAGGACTAATAATTTAAGATGATATATTCCTAAAATATAGTGTAATTACAAAGTATTATTATGTGTGAGTTATGTTGGATAATAAGATTAACTTGTTAAAGTAATAAAAATTTGACTCTAAAGTTTATCGAGATGCACTTGCTAGATCTATTATTAAGCATGACACTACATTTAGTTATGTTGACTACGAGGAAGTTTGAGAGGTAAATAAAGTTTTGAATCCTAATTTTAAACCAATTACTATAAATATTTCAATTATAGTGATTTATAACGTGTATTTAAGATAAAAGAAAAAGATAGAGATATGCTATCTAATATTTATGATAAAATATGTTTGATTTTGTGACATTTTAAATATTTCACCTATTTTGTTCATATTGTGACATTTGATATGTTTTGTTGATTATGTGACATTTTAAACATTTCACTTATTTTGTTATAAAATTGTAAGCATTTCAATTATAACAATAATGTCAGAATCTTCATTTAATATTGGTGTTCGTATCTTAAACAAATATAAAAATTGTTTATTTCTAAAAAAAATGTACAAGCTCTTATTTATATTGGTAATTAGTTGCATGATTATAATTTGAACATTGTATACTCAAGTTAGTATTCAACGTTTTATAATCTTTATATTATACAAACTTTAATTATTTAATATTTTACTTTTGTTATCAACTATAAATAAAGAAGAAATAGATATTTTATGATTTTATATAATAAATTTTGGTAAGATAAAATTTATACAATGATATTTTATGATCTTATCTTTACTTATGAGTTAAATTTGAATAACAAATGAATGATAAAAAAATTAAAAATTATATAAATAAAATATATTTTTATTTTTAATTAAAAAAAATTGAACTGTTAACTCTTTGACCATTTTAAAATATATGTCAAACTAAATTATTATATATTGACCTAATATTAAATTAGTCTAAATAAATTTTTTTAATCCATTTTAACATATAAATCAAACCAAATTGTTATATATTTTTTTATTTGACCGTAAGGTTCCCCGTTTGACAATCTTTATAAATGTTAACTGCATTAATTTCTTTTAAAAAATACAAAACAAAAACAATAAATTTCCTAAGTCTGTACACGAATTAGGTATTCTTTGAAAAATAAAAATTAGGTGAGATTTTGAAAATTAGACCTTTTCTCTATTTTTTTTTTCATGAAATATCTACTTTTTTCTTATTAGGAAAGCGATACTACGTAATTTTAAATTTTCTACTTTTCTGTTTTTTGAAACCTTGTATTGTTTTGGTTTTATAAATGCAATGCATAGTCTATGAGAATATTTTTTTTTTGTCAATGCTCGATTTCTCTGAAGATTTTGAGGCCGAAATTCATGTTTCACAATGGGCCCATGGAAAGCCCAATAGCCAACCGTTTATTGCTGAGCGAAATTATAGCTTTCTCTTAAGTATTGTTAGGAAAAGTGATTTTAAAACTCAAGAACATAAATTATCTACCATCTTCCAATTAAAAATTTTATTATACTTTTTTTAATAATTTTTTTTGCAAAATGTTTATCTATCTATCCATACAATAAACCGTGAGCCATCATTTAACAAATGTTACACTAATTTCACTTAACTACTTACTAATAAAATATATTTTGTTTTGAAAATATTTCATTCAAATGAATTTATTTATTTATTTTTATATAAGATAATTTCCATTTTTATATACGAAAACATTTTTTTTATTATGGGAAAACTTTTATTTTGTTTGAAATATAATACTTCTATTTTTTTTTCAAATAAAATATCATAAATAATACATTAAAAAAATCTTACAATAAAATATCTACCAATTTATTTAATTAAATAGACCTATCTATTATTATTAATTTTTCTATTTTTGTCCTCATTATTTTTATTTATTTTTTCTTAATTACTCCTTATTTTTCTATTTTTCATCATATCCTATTTTTACTTTTTTTCTCTCACATTTATTCTTCTGATTAAAAATATTATATTTAAATTAAAAAAAACATGTTAAAGTAATTTTTTTAAAAGTAACATTAAACTAAAAGAGATAGTCATTAATTATTTAAAATTATGACCACAATAGATAATTTATTTATGATAACATTAAATAATTAATTTAAAATTATTTTATCATAATAAATCAATTAATTATTTAATTAAAAATATTAAATATTTATGAGTTAAATATTTTTATTTAGTAATTTAATTTAGTTATAATTATGTTATGTTATTATGATTAGTTAGATAAAAAAAATAAGATAGAATGGAAGAAGAGAGAATAACAAAAGATAGCAAGAGAAGAAAAACAATGAGTAAATAATTAAAGATTAAAAAAAAGAATAAATGAGTAGAGAGAAAAATAAGAGAATATATGGAAAAAGTTAAAAAAGAGAGTAATTGCATTATGTGAAAGAATTTTATTCTCAAAATAAAAATCTAATTAAATAAATAAATTGATAAATATTTTATTTGAGTAATTTACTTTT